ATTACGTTGTCCGAAACCTTATTTTTGCATTAAAACTTTATACAAATTCAAAAAAATTTTAAGTTCTATAAAAACTTCTTTAGTTAAACATTATTTTTGCAAAGAATATTTTTCAAATCGAAACACCTCGGGTTTAGTCGAGTGTAATAATTGTCAAAACAGAGACGGGTTATTTTATAGAGATTCCTATCATAATACAATTGCAAGTATCATATAATATAGAGTTGAATTTAGAGAATTATTATCTTTTAAATTTTTGTGAAAAAAGCAAAATCCAAACAGTTATGATGAGATTATGATGGTGAGTTGTACGAAAACCTCACGGAAAATGGCTTTTTATCTAATCCGAATAATATTTCTTTACGTGGAATACAGATGGTATATTGTTTAAATCTTCTATATTTGGTGTATGGCCGTTTTATTTAGTTATTAATAAGTTGTCTTATTCATTGAGGTTTAAAAGAGAAAATATGATCCTTGCTGGTTTGTGGTTTGGACCTACCAAACCTTCAAGTAATTTATTTTTGAGCGTTTTTCGCGAAAGATTGACAAATTTATACAAAGGAGTTTTTTTACGGTACATAATTTGCGTGATCCGGAAAAAGTGCGAGGTATTATAATATGTGGTGCTTGCGATCTTTGTGCTATGTGGCATTTTTTTAATATGAAACAGTTCATTGGCGAATACAGTTGTAAACGTGTATGGAACGGAGTGAGTGAATTGAAAACGTTCATAATTTATCGATACAATAAAAATATTCCAATGCGAAGAGTTTGCTATAAAAGCGTTTATACTTAAAACCAATGATTATGGCATTAAAGGTGACCGTTTTATCTAAAATTTGTTATGGTTATATAAGATTGACAGCCATAGACGTTATGTATTGTGTATTCGTCGGATTAACCAAAAAACTTGACTGGTTATAGTTCAATTCAGAAAATCACGAACATACGGCGTTACTCACAAAGCTTTTATGGGCAATAAACAAGCGTTTGCTCGCTGTTTGTCCCACAACTTCCTCCTTCTCTTCTAGATATATCTTACTGAAAAGCTTTAGAATTAAAACTGTTTTTATTTTATTATAGGATTCCTGTGCGTTCTGGTTTTTACCTGATATATATTTCAATTACCACAAATTATTCGTAATCGTATATTTACTTAATCAATGCAGTATTACAGAAAGTATGATAAACTCAGCAACATTAGCTCTTAACGAGTACGTATCTCAGTTTAGTAATTTATATGGAAAAGCTTATGAGCTGCAATTTATACTTGCTGCTTCATTTACCTAAATGTTGAAGCTATTCGGACCATTGTGGATTACTTCTTATTTTAAATTTGAAAATATTAATGGTATATTGAAGGGTTTTGTTAATGAAATAAATTTTGCTCAACTGCAAATTTATTCATTATTTGTAAGTTACGAAGAAACAAAAATATTTGATTCGCTCGAGTAAAACATAAAAACTTTGCACTAGTTTGGAAAATCAAAGCAGATTAAAATTAAACGTACTTTGACCTGACGATGACATTTTTGCTATAGGACTAATGAAAACAAATGTTCATTTATATAACTTTGTTATTAATACTCTACAAAAATCAAACATTAATTTCGAACATAAAAAATTCACGTATTTTAAAATTAAAAAAGAATAATTTTATTATAGACTCAATGCAATACAATCGCCAACGAAAAACAAAATCAAGTGTAGTTTCATATAAAATTAAAAATAACGTGCAAATCAGAGAAGTAAAAGTTTTTGTTAAAGTATGTCAATGTATGCGTTCATAGAAATGTGAAAAATGTGGGAACATACGTGATAATAGAAAAATATTATCTCGCTGAAGCTTTCTCTTGTCAAATCGCAAGTTTAAATAGTAATATTAATTTGGTAAAAGGAATGCAGAATGACATAGCTATTCCAGTTCAAGATATTTTAGCAGTCTTACTTAAAATATGTATAAATAAAGATATATACGTTATAAAACCTGTAAATAATTTAGTAATTGAATAAATAGATTTAATAAACCAGTTGGTTTTATATAATCAGAAAAACACTCACAAATGTATGCAATACTTTATACGTTAATTACTTTATATACAATGTAAATAAATCAATTGGGTTTCATTTTAAAATATAAATTAAATGAAATAATTGATATATACGAGTATAAAAAAATATCTAGGAAAAGGTTTGGCGGTGTTTGCTCACATTTTTTACAAATAAAATAAAAGTCTCGCAAAAAATCTGGTATTTTACCAGGTTTTTTTCGCGAGAAAAATAAGTTTAGTGAAAAGTTAGGCTTATTTTCCCAGACTTTTACGTGACCCAAACCAAAAAAAAATCCGGCAAAAAGTCTGACAAAATATAGCGAAAAGTCTGGATTATTTTCCCAGACTTAAAAAAAAACCAAGACTCTGGTACAGTAGTCTAAGCGAGACTTTCGACAGATTTTGCGGAGCCAGACTTATGCCATTTGCAAGACTTGTTTTTACACGGATTATTAAGACTTTATCAGGACAAAGATTGGATAGCAAAAGCATGACTTTGATTTGTGTGAATTTGCTGTCAACTTAAAGAAGATATTTATTTATTTTTCAGATCACCAATGGGCAAGTAAGTGAAATATTAAAATCAGCAGTTCGTTTATGTAATAGATCTATGGAAAATAAGAATTCAAAATAGTAATCAGAATAGTATTGTAAACGAGATAATTTATTTCATAAGACTCTGTGATAAAATTTTTACGAGTGTAATATTTTCCGTCGAGTGTTGTGCAAAGCCCGTTGGAATAAAGCTCCGGATGGAATAAAAGTGGAAGCCGCCGTACGTAATACGCAGGGAAGCCAACGTAAAGGATTCAAGAGCTCGTGCGGAGCGACGGGTTCTTGAACTTGACTCTGGCAAGTTCACGTGGAGCCAAGCCAAGCCAAGAGAGAGAGAGAGAGAGAGAGAGAGAGAGAGAGAGAGAGAGAGAGAGAGAGAGAGAGAGAGAGAGAGAGAGAGAGAGAGAGAGATAGGAAACGCGATGAGTGGGAGGTCGGTGAAACGCAAGCCCGGACAAGGCAAAAAAAGTTCGGATAAGCAGAAGAAACGGGGGCGTTTTGGCAACAAATATGGTGGAAGAAGGGAGATGCTGAGTGTGGTCCAGGGAGGGAAAACGAAGAAAAAGAAAGGGGAGAGGGAGACGATGGGATGTTATAGCGGCGGGGCTGCTGCGGCATTAGTGCCGCAAACTCGGCTCGGAGGGCGCGCGAGTATTGATCAAAGGGGGTTTGAAATACAGGAGAGCGAGCGAGCGAGCGAGAGCAGAGCGCAGAGAGGGATCTGTCGTGTCTTTATCTGCTCGTTCCTCTCTCTCTCTCTCTCTCTCTCTCTCTCTGTCTCTGTTTTCTTTTCTTCTTTCTGCAGCAGGAAAGCGGCAAAACGACGATTTTCGCATATTGCAAGCGCTCTCGCGACCATCACGATTAGCGTGTGCACAAATCTGAGCTTCCGTGCCAAATGCCGAATTCGCTGAATTATTCGCCCCAATGCAGATTTCCTCTCGCGGGAATTCCGACCCCCTTCCTAGCACTATCCTCTTTCCATGCCTGTCTCGCTCTCCGCATTTGAATTTAAATGCGCCTTGCATGTAGGCGAGCACTGTGCTCACTAGTGCTTTTGCTGCGGATACGTTAGTATCAGTAAAGCTAATTTACAAGGGGCGCTTGATCGTTAGCCTCACTCTCGCTACTCATTCTTGTGACTAATGCCTTACCATTATTTTTCAATTTAAGTCGCTGTCATTGATATGATGGCATTTTCAGTGCCCCTAGTTCCTCGTATATGCAATCGAGTGATTAATCTTTTGTTGAATATTTGTGTTTTTGATTGGGTTGCGCTCTATACATTATTTTTTTTAATTTCAAATCACGATGTAGTCGATTGATTAACGGCAAAATGGCGATTAAGATTAATGCGCAGTGAATGTAGCTGTATACGAACGTGATTTGAAATAGTCTGAATATGAAGAACGAAAGTAAAGAGAGAGGCACAGAGAGCAAGTGCAAGTGCAAGCTCAATTGACAAAAACACTCCGCGCTGGTTTGGGCTCTCCGGCGAAAGATGACATTAAAGAGTACGCGCCCGACGAGGGAGACAAATTTTTCGAGGGTCGGTTTACCTACCTGCTTCTTCATTCCGTCTTGTGCTCTAATTATATCATTTCTCATTTAAAGCTGCTTCCCCAGGAGATAAGGTTTCCCCCATCGCGCGACGCAATGTCATATATACGTATAAATACGGTAATGCTTGAACGAAAAAAAGGTTTATTGTCACGCGGTTGAGCGGTGGATTCTGATAAATTAAGACGAGACAGTATTGGCAAAAGCGAGCTATACGTTGCGAGAGACAGAGAGTGAGAAAGGGGCTTACGCCGCCAGAAATATTAATGAAAACGAAGTTGAGAGCTCGTCATAGGAAATCGGCAAAGTTGGCCAATTAAAAGAGTAAACAAAACGGCTGGAAGTTTACGAGCGAGTATATGAGACTGGGTTTGCTGCTTCTTGCGCGCGTAACCCTTGTTTCGGAGCTCTCTCCGTGGCGTAGGTAGAAGAACCCCTGCAGCAGAGTCCTTAGAAATTTTTTTGCTGCCGGCCGCCGATCGTTCTCCCATAGGTCCTCGTTAATTCGCTGTTCCGCGACGACTCGCACAAACGTATAGGCAGAGCAGAGCGGGCAGGCAGCGTGGCGGTGCTATAGTAACGCCGCAGAGAGGGAGAAGTGCACGTGGTGTCTGCCGGCACACGAAGCGAGAGCCTATGATATATATATTCCTCGCGCGAAGGGCCACCGTAGTTTGGAGGGAGGGAGAACAGCAGAGAGAGAGGGGATATGCAACACGAGGGTGCGACGAGGACGCCGGCCGCTCTTTCTCTCGATAGCGTTCTCTCCCTTCCCCGCGCATGCATGAAGCGGCAGCACGCTGGGAGCTGGTAGCCGCTGCGCCGCGAGCCTTCGGCCCCGGACAGACTGAACGAAGCAGCAGTCGCGAGCCGCGCGCCCGTTTTCACGCGACGACGTTGCTGCTGCCACAGCAGTTCTTTCTACTTTGCTTCTTTTTTGTCGCGGTTCCAACAAGCGACCGTTGGGCTGTGGTGTCGCGAGAGGTGCTTTGTTTCGACTCTCTCGAGTATTCGGTGTAGCACTTTGTGTATAACAGACTTACTCCGAATTAGACCTGCTCTCGATCTTCCGTGCACCTGCAATTCGTTCTAACCAAACCTCTAACGCCGCCGGCCCTAGGCAGCGAGCGTTTCTAGGAACTTGCTGGCTTCGAGTTTCTCATCAACTTCCTGTGGATTCAACCAATACAAATAACGTGCATTGTTTAGTTGAATGATCGGTGAGTTCTTTGACACACAACTATATGTATACTCTCTGTACACGCATATTTATCTTTACGAAAATCGCGTTGTTATACATCGCCTTGTTTATTTCTTCAGACAAAAGAGAAATGATAAATTTGATTTGTTCTAGTTCGACAGAGTGTTCGACATTTATTTATTAAATTTTGACTATTTCCTATCTAGATTGAAAGTAGCGGCGTTACTAATCGAATAACAAAACAATCGCTAAAGATAGTTTCATCGCGAAAGATACGAAACATTTTAAAAAATTTCAAGTTTTAGAAGAGCTACAAAAAAAATTTATTATTGAAATAAATTATTGTCAACTCGGATTGAATCAAGTCAGTTTACAAAGTGGTTATACGTGCACTCTACAGCTAATAAACGTATTTCGAGTGAGATGTCATTCACCTAAAGCGAACGTTAGGTCAAATTTAGCAATTCTAACGAGAATATTTTGGAGTTCAACGAACTTAAAAAGTTGTTTGTAAATAATACTGCTGAGGAAGTCTATCAACTACATTTCATAGAAAAATCTGGCAAAATTACGAGCATAACATTTATTTAGATCTTCTTAAAACAGAGAAAAAACCCTTTTTATCGTATTATTTGCTTGCAAAATTTTATTAAAATATGTACATGATAAACGTGCAAATGAATATTTGTTTTCATACATCTTCAAACTCAACGTAATGTCATGCCGACTTGTATACATTACAAATTGAATAAGCTATACAACAGATTATTAGGCTTATTGATGTTATCAACGCACACTTCATCCCGTGTGTTATAGCTGGGTGAAAGTTTTGCTAACTTTTTCAAGTAGAGAAATTTGAATATTAAATACCATGCAAACAATCTAACCTTCGTGTACGTAAATAAAATGATTGAAATAGTTTTGTCGAAAATATTTAGCATGATAACGAATAAAAAATAACACCCACAAAACGAGCATCAGTTATCTCGCTGTAAAAGAATGCAATATAAAAGCCAAATAAGTAGGTTGATGTGGCACAATGATTTATTTACGAGTAGCCGTAACTTTAAGCATTCAAGACTTTAAGCGAGCCTCTTTTAATTTATTTGAAAAAGGAAAATACTTGTTTTCCTGCGAAAAACAGGCGTAACTCATTTGGAAGACGAATTCTTTATATCAAAGGAGGAAGATTTCTCCGCATTTGATGGATCAGTTTTACCTAGTAAAATCTGTTAAAATATTAGGCCGACAAAAACATTCGAAAGGCTGTTGACGGCAACGACGACATTAAATGTCCTTGCTTCGACGGAGCTTATTCTTTAAATATGCTTTCAGGCTAATAAAACGTGCTAAAAAAGTGACGCTGACTGATGTTGACGTAAAAGTAGCTTCACACGTGGTATGAGTTTCTTCCAGTTCCAGACGCGCTACTAGGTTTTACGGTATTTAGAAAAATTTCTCACAGAAGTTTTATACCAAACTTAACTGGTTTTAATGTAAAATTTAAAAAGGTTCATTATTCTGTCTCTTTGCAAATTGGAGTTGAAGCAGAGCTACGACAGCCAGCAATGTGCATAATTATTCAATATTAACAAATGTAATTTTCAACTCGTCCGCTTGCATGTGTGCTTGTACGTACAATTCAAGCGGATGCTCGACAACTACGGAAGTAACCGCTTTCCCAGATACAACTACAGTTGACGGAGTATCTTGCGTTGTACACGCAGACCAAGGGATGTTCTCTCCCCTCTGTATATTTAGTCTGAATTGTGCTCTGAAAAGTTCAAAGACCGTAAAAAAGACGATGTTACGCTAGCCGCGGCGCAGACGTTAAAAATGCGTAAATTGGAAAGAACTGTCGGTTAATTTTAAAAATATATTATTATCGCGAGGAGCCAATATGTCGATGAAGCTAATGAATTCGTATGGAAAGGTGTGCGTGTTACAACGAGCAATTAGCCGCGTGTTGCTTCAGTGAACAGTGTAAAAAGTGTTCGGGGCAAGCGGACCTCGGAAAATGCTGGTAAAGCTGGAACGCGAAAGGGTAGTCGCGCGATGAGTGGTTCGACGGCGCGAGACTATCGCGAATAATCGCAAGGCATACGTATGGCGCACAGAGTTTGCCTGCTGCAGGCTGTGTTCTCGCTAACAGCTTCCACTGTACTCGCGCGCTTGGCGAACAATGCGCTTTCACTCGCGCAACGTGCACGTGAGCTGCTGCACGCGCCCTTTAACAGCCGCCTTCCCAGCCTACTCGGCTGTGCGACACTGTGCGTAGCTGCGGTGAGCGCGCGCCATCGACGAGCTCACTTTGCTCGATTAAGATCGTCTTAATGAGCCGCTACGAACGGCTTTGTCCAGTCTCTCGATGCGTACATGCATCTCTCCATTTTTCTCTTAGTACCGCCCGGCGTGTGCACTTCAAGCTATCACTGCGGTATGCCCTGTTATGCTATTTCAAACATTCACTTTCCCCGATCGGTAAGCGTCCAACAGAACCACTAGCGCGCACCGCCACGCCGCGTGTATCTATATGCGTTGGCGAAAGCCGTAATCATGTTTCACGTGACACTCATCGCCATTACCTCCCTCGAAACCGACCGCATTCGCGAAATCGCGCGCTAGCTTCATTTCGTTTTTCTTGTCGCAAAACTCATTGCTCGATTAGCCGCAACAAGACAACCGACAAGAAAATGAGTGGTGACCGATTTCAATGCAATGGACAATTGATGGAGGCAAGCTCGTTTTCGAGCGAACCGCGTAAGAGTAAGAGTGCGTCGTCGAGGTAATTCGCATGTTCAGCAGGGCAAGCGGTGACGCGCACGGTAAATAATCGATATTCCGTGGGACTGTCGAAGAAAGGAGGAGGACCACTAGCCACTCTAATAGCATTTCGCTGCGCGCAGCTCGAGACTTAAAGTCGTTAGGAGAATTGCTATGGTGTCGGGCGACGGCCTTTGCGCGCCCACCGCACCTCTTCTCTTTCTCTCCCCGAAGCGCGTACAAGTTGGCGTTGCGTCGGCCACCGCTCGGACACTTAAAATGCGCGCAGTACATCGCCGACTTAGTACTCAGGCACGCATAATAGAAGTCGTTGAAAAAGCACTCTTTCAAATCTTATCTCGCGCTCGCCATCTACTCGTTTTCTCCCGTTTTCTCCTCCCCCCCCCCCCCCCCCCCCTCCCGACCAATTTCAGTCCGGCAAACTTTGCATTCAAAGTGGCAATTTTCTCATTGACGCGCTTCAACAAACTCCTGCACCGTGCCCGAGAATGGCTGTGGAAAGGCTCTGAAAAATAGGCCGAATCAGAGGCGCAGCATCGATCCGTCGCCGCGAATCCAAGCGCTACGGGAATTGGAGAATAAAATAATATCCGCGCGCACCCGCCAGAGGACTCATAGGCATTGGCCAAGTGATGTATTCATCGGCGAGACAAGCAGCCGTCGGTCTGCGCGGGCTGTTTATCTCTCGTTGCAACAGCAGCATGCACATCCGTCTCCGATCTCTACCCATCGAACGCGACACACTTTAATAGCTGCGGGTTCATTTCGAGGAGCGATAACGCTTAAAAATAAAGAGACGCGACTGCTGGGCCGCGCGCGCGATACACACGTCAAAACCTGTACAATGTGCACTCGCGGCTGTTTTACGCTGTGTTTCTGCCCGCGACTGACAACTCTCTATCTATATGTAGGACATTGGTGATCAGTTCTGTTTGGAAAACGTATGAACGTCTACTCGATTATGTACATTTGATCCAGGCAACGCGCGCCTCGCGAGCGCTCGTTGACGATTGCACGCGTTCAGGACTATCTTATGCTGGCAGCAATTCAATCAATTAGCCGTGGTTCAATCAATTATCGTCGGTCTACTCGTCAACGACCGCACGAGTATCAACGCCTCCGTCAGTTCTAACTGCATTGTGTCTAATAATGCAGAGTCGAACCACGTGGTTCTATATAACGTGTCATCGATAGCGGATGTAACAGCCAATAAAACGTTATACGGTCAGCTGGAATAAAGCGATAATAAAACGGTGCGTACTCCTGCGGGCGATCGATTGGTGTGTGTAGCGTCGCTAACTCGTTGTCGTATAATCGCTAGCGTCCGTGAACTGCTGCGCGATAAAAGGCGCCTCGCTAGTAAGTTCCACGGCTACTTTGATAATGCTGCTTATCATTCGCTATCGGTCTGTTTTAATAGCCGAGACGGCATATTTAATAAGCTTCAGTTGGCGCGACGCTGCCCGACTGCCGTTTACCGCCTCACTGCAACAGCTAATTCTCTCTCTCTCTCTCTCTCTCTCTCTCTCTCTCTCTCTCTGCCCATCAGCGAAACACCTCTCTAGCGCGTTCGCGGCATGATGCAGTCACGCTCCGAAACTGGCTTATTACATCAATCTTATTACCGCTAGAGGCTCTCTCGCACGAGAGTACAGTGCATACGGCTACTGTGAGAAATGTTGGATGGCCGCTCGGCGCAATGATGACTGCCCAATTTTCCCTTTTAGAAATCACCGCCGCGATAATCTTTTATTGCGCCAATGATTCTGCGATTCCGCGGTCAGTTATTATCACGCAATTTGCTCAGTCACAGGTTTGTTTTGCGTCTGCACGCGCGTACATTTACTTACTGCACTGCTCGAGCGAACCAGTTGCTCGCGAATTCGCTCTCGAATTAACGGTCGCAGCTTTTACCTCTAGCCGCGATAATTGCTCTCTCAATTTTCTGCTCGCAATGATTTTCTGAGAACGTCGGATTTACGGTGCAACGCACGAGGCGCTCTGCAAACGTTCGAGCGGTTTAAGGGCCGATCTATGTGTTTTTGAGAGTTCGAGCTTACGAAACATTGTTTTGCGCACATCGCCGGCGGAGAGATCTGGGTGAAGCTTAAAATTGGACGGCACGCGACGTTCAATTAAACGAAATTCACTCTCGAAGAAAAAGTTGATGCGCGCACGAGATGAGATAATTAGACGATCCGCCGTGCGCACGCTCTGATTCTGCTTCTGCTTCTT